CAGCGGCGATGAGAACACTAGCCCCCGCACCGATGCCAGGGTGGTTGACCGCGCGTCGTTCTCCGACCTCTGGTCCGCCAGTGACCCTGAAGCGACCCCCAGCAGGTCCAGGAAGCGGTCTCTCGCCTCAGTTGTGAATTCGACCCCTAAGCTGCCCAAGCGCCCCCGCTACAAAGTTCATGCCTGTGGCGTGTGGCTCCCGAAGCTGAGAGGTTCCAAGTAGCGTGTGCTGTATTGTAGTTCGCTCAGCCCGCAGTCGAATTGAGGGGCGGCGATGCCGCGGCGATTGGAAAGGAAGCCGCGTCTGGGGGAGGGGCGGGGAAGGCAGTTTTTCGGAGGAGACGGAGGCGGACGTGGATGGGGGACGGGGAGAGGGGGGAAGGGCGTGGAGACGGGGCCGCCGACGATGTCCAAGGCTTCGTTCCAGGGCGGGCCCGCAGGATTGGTACCGGACGACGGCCGCCGCGCGAGCGCTTTCCAGGGCGTCGGGGAGCGAGGGCCGCGGAGGCCCCGAGATCCAGAGGGGGTTTGCCAGGATGATGGGGGAGGGAGGTGGCCGAACTCGCACGGGGCGGGCACAGGGTAGCATCGGCTAGCGGGCCCAGAGTGCAGGTAGACGGCGCCGCATTTGGGGGTAAAGGTGGAGAGTTCAGAACATTGATTGGGCATGCAATTTAGGGCTCAGAGCACGCGCGCACAACATTGCAAGATCGAGATTGAGACCGATCGTGAGATCGATCTAGTCAGATCGATAGTGAGATCGGTCTAGATCGATAGTGAGATCGATGGTGAGATCGATAGTGAGGTCGATAGTGAGATCGGCAGTGAGATCGATCGAGAGAGGATTCGTGAGATCGATTGTGGACTCCCCGTGGTGCGCCAGCGTTCGTCGTCCAGATGGTATGGCGTAGGGCGCGAGCGTTCGTCGTCCAGATTGCATGGCGTCGGCGCTCGCACGGAGCTCCCAGCGCACCGACGCCACGGGGCGGCTTCGAGCGCGGACAGACGACCTGGCACATCCAGGAGAGACAGGCGATGGAGCGAGAAAGAGAGAGACACAGGGAGAGCGACGAAACGGACACATGGCCAACTTTCGATGCATGCAGGGTATCCCGACGCACCATGGCATAGCGGCATACATACACATACATATAGAAATAATGCGGCAGGGCGACCGTTAGCATTGATCAGAGCTTTGCGGGGCCACCTTCGCCCGTGCCTTCGGAGCTCGCGGCTCTAGTTAGCTGCAGCACCCCGCCCCCCCTTCGGCGGCATCGGGGGCGGCAGGCTCCCGCGGGGCCATGGCCTCCTCTTCGAAGGGCAACGCGGCGCCTGGCTCTTTGTGCGCCACTCCGAGCGCGAAGAGCTGGGACGAAGAGGTTGCTGTGCTCATGCGCAACCACGAGGTTGCTCACCATGGGATTGAAGTTTTGCGTTCGGGGTCCTCGGGCAGGGGGTAGATTCGTCCGACGACGAGTGCGTAGGTGCACGGAGCTGTCTAGTCGAGTTGGAAGGGGGGCATGCATGTCGTTTTGTCGTGCCCGCGCTGCCCAGGCTGCTGGTCGCTCGGGGCTGCTCAGCCTCTGCCGCTGGTTCGACTGCGGCTATTGTGGATGCTTCGCACGCCGCCCCCCTCTCGAGGGGCGATCGCCACGGAGATGGATCGCGGATGGGGGTGAGAGCGTGGGGCATGGAGCGGTGGGCGGGGAGAGATAGGAAGGGAGGGGTCTGGAACTGCTCCCGTCTCGCCCCACCCCCACTGCCCCTCCCCTTCCCCGTGCATCCCTCGGGCGTGGTGTGCTTCGCCCTCCATTCGCTCCCTCATTCTCGCCTTTCGCATCTCTTCCGTAGTTGTTGTTTTTCCACTCCCCCGTCGCGGGCCCCTTCCTCCGCCCCTCACCCCTTTCCGCCCGCACGTCTCTTCTCTCCCCTGGGGGCCCCAGGAGTCAGTCGGGGTCGTGGCGAGGGTGGGGCTGGCGGGCTCAGTTTCCTTACTTTGCGCTTCGCTTCACTGCCGATGTGCAGTCCGCGGACGCGGTCGTCCCTGGGCCCACGTTCAAGGGCGTCGAGTTCTGGGACATCGACACGGAGAGGCTCGGGTACGGAGTGTCGTCGCTCCCGACGAAGGAGGACCGCTCTGGGCGCCGCAATGTCACGACCACGTTTCATATCCCCATGCTGCGACAGCGCTCATATTGCCCCTCTGTGCTTTCCATCCCGAGCTGCCCTCCCGCTCCATTTGCCGCTACCCGACCTGGCCGCCCCCGCATCCGTTACCCTCCCCTCTCGCATTTCCATTGGGCGCCCCCCCTTCCGAACCTTATATCCCCATCTCTCCGCCCCTCCCTCTCAACCGCATCTCGCGCACCCCGCCGTCCCAGGAGTACAAGTGCTGGGTTCAGAGCTGCCTGTGCAAGGACTTCGGCGGCCAGCCCGACGAGAGCGGCCTCTACACGGGCGGGTGGAGGGTGGGCTACTCGATCTGCGCCAAGTGGCCGTCGGCGCCGCACCCCGAGAAGAGCAAGAACACGTTCTTCTACAAGTGCGGCGACACGACGGGCATGGAGTGGGACCTGTGCAAGGTCACGAACATGTGCAAGCTGACGCCGTGGGCTACTGCCTCAGCGCTTTGTCCATTGGCGCCGCTTGCCGCCATCCCGCTCATCTCCCCTCGCATTTCCCCGATGCCGTCCCGTGCCCAGCATTGGCCTCCCATCGCTCCTCGCATTCTGCCCCCCCCGCTCGCCTCGCCCTCTGAGGGAGGATGGCGGCGATTATGATGCGGAGGATGGGGGCGGGGAGGATGCGGAATGAGGCGGGCAGCGTAGGGGGGCTGAGAGGGCGATAAGGAGGGTGAGGGAGGGGGGCAGGGGATGAGCGGCGGTGGGTTTCCGATGACGGGGGAGGGGTGGACGGAGTGCTCATTGCTGGCCTCGGCGTCGACGGCGATGGCATCGGCGTCGATGGTGGCGGCATCGGCGCTCTAAGGACCGCATCGTGGAGGTGACGAGGTTCGGCGAGATGGCCAAGGACGTCATCAGCGAGTGGCTGCCGAAGGCGGTGCTCCTGGGCGAGGTGAAGCCCACGCGCGGCAAGAAGTACGTGCCTGAGATGCAGGACGTGCTGCTGCGGATGCTCATGATGGAGCTGAAGGTGGCCACGGCGACGATCTTCCGCGAGTCCGTCAAGGAGCACACGGACTTCGCGATCGCCACGCTGAAGCCGAAGAAGGAGCTCAAGGCACGCGGGGGAGGTGGAGTGGGATGAGGACGAGAGGGCGATGAGGGAGAAAGGGGGGATCATATGAGGTATAATGCGGATGTAGAGTTGGATGGGGGAGGATTGGGGATACATACGATGATGATGAGGAGGAGGCGGAGGAGGTGACGACGATGTTAACGACGACGAATGGGGCGACGCCGATTGCAGTGACGACGAATGCGACGACGACCCCAACGACGAATGCGACGATGCCAACGACGACGACTGACGGCGAATGCGACGACGACGACGACTCGATGATACACGCGGCGACGACGACGACGCCCGCCAGGCGAACAACAGCGAGACCAGCGACGGCGGCAAGCGCAAGAAGGCGGACCAGAAGTCGTGAATGGCCGCAGCTCCAGATCCCGAGAATGGCCGCAGCTCCAGATCCCTTGGTTTCGATTGCGCTTGGACCGAGTTTCGGCGTATGCGATCGAGCTCCCGATAGATGCAGCCTCTGAGTTGAAGCACTCCTCAGGGGGCGTTTCGGCCCAGGGGCTGAGCTCGCGCCGAAACTCGGTCCAAGCACAATCGAAAATCAAGGGAACTGGAGCTGTGACAATCTCGTGAAACAGAATCTCGAGCGTGTTTCAGAGCTGCAGGGGTGCTTGCAGCTTCAGGCGGCGCGACCGCCTGCCTGTGCACGCCGTGGGCTGCAGGCCCGCGGGACTTTGACCAGTGGGCAAGCCGCTGGCGCTCGGAAACGTTTCCGCCGTCGCCGTCGTCGTCGCCCGCCCCTCGTCCGCTTCATTCCCCCCGCCTCCTCAGCCCTTCCCCATCCTTCCTGCTCCCCTCTCTTGTCCCCCATCCTCCCCCCTTCCCCCTCCTGCCCTTCTACTACTATGATACTCGCTATGCTACTCGCTATGCTACTCGCTATGCTACTCGCTGTGCTACTCGCTATGCTACTCGCTATGGTACTCGCTGTGCTACTCGCTATGCCACTCGCTATGGTATTCGCAATGCTACTCACCATGCTACGGAGGTAGGCACGGAGGTCGAGGGCGAGGAGTGCGGCACGGACGATTGGCAAACCGCTCATTAGTCGGTTTCGGTCTTGTGGGCCCCCGCCCCCATGCAATCTCCCCGATGGTACTTTTTTTTCAGCCGCCCGCGGGCCGCCCATGGGGTCGAGGGGTCTTGGTTCCGTCCTCAGATCAATATCAGTGTTCACGCGGGGCGCCACGCGATCCGATGTTTTTGCCGTCGGCCACAGCCGACTCAGCATTGAGGTCGGAGGTCCAGTGGGTGGCAAGAACTTGAACAAGTAAGTTGCTTCACTTTTCCAAAGGGGGGGTCCAGGATCGGCTCAGCCGGGAGCGTTCGGTGGCAACTCACGGGAACCTTCCATGTCCTCGAATGTCGATTTTCAGAGTGCGTCTGCGCGCGCTAGCGTCTGGAATGGTCTGTGAGGACGGGCCGATGTAGCGTCGATTCAGCGTCGGCCAGCGTCGAGTCGCAAGAACCAGCAAGACGGCATGGGAGGCTTCCGTGCGTTGCCACAGGAGGTGGGGTGCGGTAGTAGGTTCGTGTTGTGTCGACCGGCGGCGACCCCGCCAGCGGCGTTCAAGGGTGAACGCCGCGGGCGACCCAGAATCCTTCGGTGTGGAACGATTTGTGGACGTTTCGGAAACGGCCGATCTTTCAAGGTTGAACGATCCCCGCGGTGTCGGAGACCAACGCCGAAGTCGGCACGACACGGACCTGACGTGGTCGGCTGACTCCTCGCACAGGGCGAGTACACCAGCGCCGACGAGCTGAAGTATGCCCGGGCCTCGGCCGCTGCGGCCGCGGCCGCCGCCTGCCCGCGAGGGAGCTGTGGCCGCCGGCCTGGCCTGCTCAGGGCTCCCGTCGCGGCGCAGCCTGGCTGGCTCGGAGGCGACGAAGGAGGCGAATATCGGGGGCAACGATAGGGGGGATAGGCATAGGAGGGGATGCATCGACCCCCAATCGCTCATTGAGCGCCGATAGGGGCCTGATAGCCCCAACCTGCCCAGGAAGGTGCGGACTCACTATCGGAGGCCTATCGCCGATCTATCGGCGATGTATCGCCGATTCCAGGTCGATGTTTCCCCCCCTGTCCCTGTCCCCCCCTATCGTTGCCCCTCGGAATAGCCCAGGGGGGAGCAATATATGTGTATTCACGCCTGTGGTCCACGGCTTCGGCGAAGCTCCCCAGCGAATACGTGTAATTCCCGCCCCTGGGCTATTCGCCCTTATTGTCGCCTCCGACTGGCGGGCTGGTCCGAGAAGGTGCAGTGTTGGGGGAGGGGGATCGGGAAGTGGGGAGGAGGTCGGAGTCGACTGGGGGTCTAACGTGGCACAGCGCTGGTTCTGGCCAGCATGAAGAGGGGAAAACGCTCGGGGTACTGGGTTCGAATAGGTTTATTGCCTTTTGCCGCCTCCGGGAGCCGTTTTCGGGCCCCAGGACCGTCGAAAATGGATCTGGGTTGAAAATTTACACCATATGGACCATGGGAGGGGCCGGAGACCGATGTCGACTGGATTTGCCCTTATCCCCCAGCTTCACAGATTTCTCCGGTGCCCATTCAGTTCAGATTCCCCGGACGTCGCCTCCAAGATCCAGGCCTCCCACATGGGGTCCGAGTAGACAGGGTCGGAGGATCGCGCCGCATCGTCGATGCATCGGCCATGCGGCCCGATGTAGAGCAGGATTGTCTCCACGCCGACGACGCCGATGCATCGCCGACGTCGGTGATGCCTCGCCAATTTATTGCCGATGCGTTGGCAATGCATCGTCGATGCAATCGGCGGGCTGGTCCGAGAAGGGGCAGGGCGGGGGGAGGGGGATCGGGAAGGCGGCGGAGGATAACGAGTGGTTCGGTAGTAACTCATGGGAGCCTTGTATGTCCTCGAAATTCCGTCTTTAGAGCGCATTCGCGTACGCCAGCGTTTAGTACGTTATGAGTTTAGTGTCTACTCAGCGTCGAGTAGCGTGTATCTCGCGTCGATTAGCGTCGACTCGGAAGAGCCTGCAAAATGACACGGGGGGCCCCCATGAGTTGCCACAGAGGAGGGGGAGGGAGGGGATGGGAGGGGAATGGAAGTTCACAGGAGGAACAGAGGCCAGTCCTCGTCGCCGCGGCCAGATTCGCCTGGAAATCCACGTCAGAACGCATCCACGGAGAGGTTCGTGGAGTAGCGGTATCGTATCGGTTTATTTTGTTCGCCCAGTGGTGGAGGGGGAATTGGAGTGAGGGGACGGGGATGAGGGGAGGTGAGAGGGGGGTTATGGGGGATAGGGAAGCGGAGGAGGGGGGTGCAGATGCACGGAAGGGTGCATTGGGGAAATATTGGAGGTCTCTAAGCCAGTCGACCCCAACAGGGGAGGGCTCCAATGAGTGGCGCCCCTTCGGAGCCCGAAACGTCACCTCGCTGAGCCCTCTTGGGATTCTCTTGGGATTCTCTTAGGATTCTCTGGGGAGCCTGTTGGGCCCTTCTTGGGCAGTTCTCTTATGCCATTTCGGGGCCGTCCTGATGCGTCAGAACCCGATCGGATGCGAAAAGTAGAGGATGCAAAACTCATTGAACAACTCAGGTAGGTTTCAGGATTTGCGCCTCTCGGTAACATCCTTCTGCTACATACTCTTCTCTCCTCCCCCCTCTTGTTTTCCAGCGCGAATTCTCTGGTGCACTGTGAGAATGTTGTATTCAGATGTTCACTTCTGGTGACCCTTAGCGGTTGCCGTGCCAACGCGCCCGGCTGGATGTACGGATTGTGTGGTGTGGTGGTGGGAACATTTTTGGAGGTATTGTCACTTCGGGGCGTTATTGTATAGTCCCAGGCTTTTTGGGTTGTCTTGGAGTCACGCAGGAGGCCATCTTAACCATTTCGGAAAAGATTTTGCCATCTTGGAGTCTATCTTGGGCTATGTAGGGCGATCTTGGAGCTGTTTGGTGCTATCTTGGACGCTGCTACCCCTCGCGATCCCCTGCGTCCAGTTTCCCGGAGAGGCTGCCCTCTCAAGGAGCAGGCCAGCTTCCGCCAGCGACGGAAGTCCTAGGGTTCAGTCGGACATGTCCCTCTACAGGAGGAATCTTCAAAAATAGTCAAAAATAGTCTGGGGACGATGTTCCAACTATGATTTACAATGTTTGAATGTTTTTTGATTATGTTTTGGCTTCGTCCGAAATCCGCCTGTAGGGGGACATGCCCGACCTAATCCTAGGGCCGCGAAGCCCGCGGTCCCGTCTTGGCTGGCCACGGGAAGG